GAAAATTGTAATATAATTATGTATTGAAGCGAAGGTAGGCGAGGCGAAAAGTACACATTCAAAAGTACAATTCAAAGATCTCTAATAATATTCGTCTTTATATCGACGACAAAAGTACGAATACCGGAAAAACATTGTAGCGTTGTTGCGAGTTTGGACAAATTATATCACGTACATTGTCGGGCAATTCCGTGTGCAGTGTAAACAATTTTTCAATGCTTCTGGTGATTTAGGGAACAAGACGCATCTGTACTTACATCATTTATTCAAATAAAATGTGTATAGTATTCACCGTCACGTCACTTTTATATGATTTTCTTTTTTTTACTAGTATTGTTTGCGCGTACGCTCGATTGCTGACGTTGAACGCTCACGCACGAAGCTACGGATCCTGACAATCGGGTTGTAAATCCGATCGTCGATATCCGTCTCGTGTATAGATTGCACAGGAAGATTCAAAGTGGACTGTATCTTAAGGAGGGTGGACGCGCTCCGATTGGTGCGCAGGATGGGTAACGATTTAAGCCACGTGCCGAATCGAGAACCAGAATACGGAATTATATGCACAAATTACACAAAAACAATCCATTTATTAACTAAATTTGTCCGAGAGTCACAATGTACATAAACGCAAATTAATTTGAAACCTTTACATAAAATCTTTATCTATTAACGAATAAAATAGTCACCGCGAAAACACGTACGACGTGGTTGTTAAGCAGTCCGAAATGTCTCACTATATGGTATCTAGCATGTGTTGCATGGACACCACCGAAAAACTATTTGTTGCATAACAATTGCTAGTTACGATGAACACGCTCGAAACTCGTGTATCGAATCGTTCGAAATCTCACATTAAGATTTCGTACACGTTGCCGATTGCGGCGAATGCGATATTAAATCGCGAACCGAAATGTTTCAATTAACATGAATCACTGATCACATAAATGTTACAGTGCGTTGAGCACCACGGGCTCGAAGGGATGAAAAAAAGGAACGCAAACACAATCACGACATCAGGTATCAGTCCCAGATGACTGATCACGTGATCTGCGCGCTCCAACTCACGTGATCTACGCGTGCCAAGCGAACACGCGCGAGCCTCATGTATACAATTATTACGTTCGTGGAAACAATCGGACTTCGGCACCTTGATATTTCACCATTGCGTGAATTCTGGTCCCAAATCACTGAATTCCGCTTCGTTAACAATGTTTTGAGCGCAAATTTTATGTCGCGTATATAACGGCGCACCTTGTTGCTACCGTTAATTAGCGAATGTCAAAGTGAACGTATTTCACATCTCACTTATCACTGAATCACAGCAGAATATCAATCTGATTATTTTTTTTATTAATCAAACGAACTACGAACAATTAGAATCGCGACGGAAAACCCACATGTGACTAATCGCAAAGCCGTGCCAGGAGCGAATGCCCAGGTTCGATGACGAGGCAGTTCATCCCCGATCGATTCGATAATCGAACGCTTGAAGCGCGGCGTGTAGGTTCAGTGCGTGCTGCCCCGTGCCGGATTAACTCAAAAATTATAGAATTTCAAATTATCGACCTACTTCTTCATTCTCTTTGAACAAATAATAAAGTTCTTGACCTGGGGTCAACTTACTTCTGAACATACCGCCCGCCTCGAAATAAAGATTTCGAAATGTCTTACAGTAACTAAAGAACTTACCCCAGGTTTGGGTTTTTTTTTTTGTTACATAAAGAAAAAAAAAGAAAAAAATAAACGTTAATCGCTTAATGATTTTTCGAGTGAGATTCAGTGATTACATATTGAACAATAACAGGCATTTGGTTGCTTACATGATTGAATAACAATATTAAGACATAGATTCTTACTAAACTTACATTAACGCGACGCGAGTGGTCTTGAGTAGTCAAGGATATTGAGCGCCGCCCGCCTTAACTAACTACGAAGGACTTGACTTGTCCTAATTATGCGAACGATTGAGACGTTGCATGCGCATTATGGAGTTGGGTTTTCCGCAGTACCTGTCTTACGTTCCGACAGTTGATCGATTAAGTTAATATCGATAGGTAGTAGGCACAATTTAGTTACTGGTCGCTTGTATTCGGACGTCGCTGTTTTAACTGAGACGACTCGAGTTAACCCGTCAGAGCCCGGATGACAATGAATAACTCGCCCTAATTCCCATTTACACGGTGGGAGAAGGGGGTTTTGAATCAAAACCATTGAGCCAACCTGAATCGGAGGCGTTTCTCGACGCCACTTTGATCTTTGTTGAAGAGTATTGACATAATCTGACTGCCACTGCTTCCAAAAACGCTCCGTAATCTGTCTGAGTAATTGCCATCGCGACAATCTGTTTTCGTTCAATTGTAGAACGGAAGGTTCCGGATTCGTAGTAATGGCAGTCCCAATCAAAAGGTGACCTGGGGTCAGGAACTCGTAGTCATCTGGAGTATCATTGAGTGGAGAAAGCGGCCTTGAGTTGAGGATAGCCTCAATTTTGCACAACACTGTCGTGAACTCCTCAAATGTCAATGCGTGTGAGCTTACAATTCGACGAAGGTGGTGTTTGACACTCTTCACTCCTGCCTCCCATAGTCCTCCAAAATGAGGAGCATGAGGCGGGATGAAACTCCAAGTGATCCTATCTGTTGCGATTAAATTGAGAAAATCCGTATTGCGTTGAGCATCCCGATACGCGCGGGATAGCTCTTTATCGGCTCCTGTGAATGTTGTACCGTTATCCGAATACATAACTGCTGGCAAGCCTCGTCTGGCGCAAAATCGTTGAAATGCGTTCAAAAATGCTGGCGTTGAATAATCGCTGACCAACTCGAGATGAATGGCTCGAGTTGCCAAACATATGAAAACGGCTATGTAAGCCTTTCGTGAGGTGATTCCTCGACCAGCAGAGGCTCGAATGAGCACTGGACCGGCATAATCGATGCCGCTGTGCAAAAACGCCCTCGTTGGCGTTGAGACTCGAGTTGATGGGAGTTGACCCATTAACTGATTGGCTACCTGAGCTCTTTCTCGCGTGCATCGAACGCACCTGTAGATAACTGATTTAACTAAAGGCCTAGATTTTATAATCCAAAATTCTTGGCGAATTTTAGACAGGGTAGACTGAAGACCGGCGTGCAGCGAGGCTATGTGCGTGTAGCGAATGAGCATTGTAGTAATTGGATGATCAGCTAGTAGAACTGGATGTTTGGATTGAAATGGTAGATGAGAATGCTCCAATCTTCCGCCAACGCGGAGTAGACCATTTGCGTCTAGGAATGGATTTAATGATATCAGAGCGCTGTTTCTTGATAACCTCTTGTTTGACTTGAGTAAGTAAAGTTCTTGCTTGAACACCTCTGCTTGAATCATATGCAACCAAAAGTTACGAGACTGCATGTACTCAAATGCTGTAATGGCGTGGGACCGGACGTGATCTTTGTGATCTGCCGCGTGCTTCCGTTGACATTTGTTTATGAATCGGTATATATGCAGTGACGCGTATCAATTTTGGCCACCATGAATACCGTGCAGCAAGACTCCAGTCTTCACGAGTACTGTTTTGATGAGCTTCACATGCCTTCAGTTCCAACTGAGTTTCGTGGTGCTCTGATAGAATTTGATGAGGCCACTCATCAGAATGAAGATGCAACCATGACGGCCCATGCCACCATAGGTTGATGGATATCAAATCTCGGCCGAGTAATCCGCGCGAAGCACAGTCTGCGGGGTTTTCACTGGTGTTTACGTGATGCCAACTACCGGTTGGTAATCGTGTCTGAATTTCGGCTACTCTATGAGCTACGAAAGTTTTCCAATTTGAGGGGTGCTTCTTGAGCCATGCGAGAACTACAGTGGAGTCTGTCCAACAATAAATCGCAATGTCGCTTAAATGAAGTGACTGCTTGATAAAGTCAATCAAGCGAACTAGCAGAACGGCAGCAGAAAGTTCGAGGCGAGGAACCGTCATTGGTTTAAGAGACGCGACTTTAGATCGCCCAGCAATGAGCGAGACCGTAATTTTCCCAGAGGAGGATGTCACGCGTAAAAACACCACTGCTGCGTAAGCGATTGTGGATGCGTCCGCGAACCCGTGTAATTCCACAGTTGCCGTTCCGGACTCAAAACCTGTCCAGCGACTCAGTTGAATCTTTCGTAGATAGGGTAATGACTCGTAGATAGACTTCCAGGATGATAAGATTTCGTCCGGAATAATGTCGTCCCATCCGATACGGTGTCGCCATAATTGCTGCATGAGAGTTTTTCGCCTTTAAAATCGCAGGTGTGACCCACCCGAGCGGGTCGAATAATCTTGCTATTGTTGATAGAATTGCTCGTTTGGTGTTAGGAACAGTTTCAGATAATGTAATTTGAAACTGAAAGCAGTCATGTTTCGGGTTCCAGACAATACCGAGGATTTTTAGACTGTCATCAGTCTCCAAATTTTTTGCGTAAGCCAATCCATGATTGTCAGGCTGAATATCTGAAAGCAATTCTGAGTGGTTACTGGCCCATTTCCGGAGATCGAAACCACCACGGTTCAGCAAATTACAAAGTTGAGTGCGAGCTTGCTTTAACAGTGTGATATCGTCTGCACCAAATAATACATCATCGACGTAGATGTTTTCTCTTAGGATGGGAGAGGCTAACGGAAATGAATCTCCCTCGTCACAGTTCAATTGTTGGATTACTCGAAGAGCAAGAAACGGTGCTGACGCAGTGCCGTAAGTAACGGTAAGGAGTTGATATTCCTGTATAGTTGAGTTGTGGTCGACCCACAGTATCCGTTGGTAGTCTCTATCTCTAGGATCGATTAATATTTGGCGATACATTTTAGCGATGTCCGCAGAATATACATATTTATATTGCCTCCAGCGCAATATAACTGCTTGTAGATCGGACTGCAATTTTGGGCCGGTGTACATGTGAAAGTTGAGAGACGTTCCATTGGATGTGAGGCAGGAGGCGTCGAACACGACTCTTAAACGGGTTGTCGAACTTGTCTCCTTGATGACTGGATGATGAGGTATATAGGTCGCTTGAACATTATTTGAATGCAAAGGAGCGACTTGCTTCATATGATTTAATTGCTCATATTCGCGCATGAAGTCCAAATATTCTTGTGCCAGTGTGGGTTGACGAGCAAATTTACGAATTAGCGACGAAAGTCGGCGTTCAGCTATGCTGCGAGAGTCGCCTATTTTAATAGGCGGGCCCTCTTTAAAAGGGAGTCGCACGACATATCTGCCATCTGCTGTTCTAGTATGCGTGCGTTGAAAGTGATCCTCGCATTGTTTATCTTCTATGGACGCATGAACATGTTGAGGAGTTTCTTCAACCTCCCAAAACTTACATAATTGCCGTTCCAAGGAGCAGCAGTGAGCAACTGCATGATACCTTTGTTGTGAACTGGGTAATGGTGAGCCTTGAGGTTGGGCTCCGACATGCGATGAAACCAAAGTAGAGCCGACTACATGGGTGTTTTGTATGACATGATTAGGGATTGACGTAGGTCCAGATAGAATCCACCCGAAATGCGATTGTATAGCGTCTGGTTGACCTATGGGTCCATTGCGTATATTGACAAGAACCTTGCTATACAAATCAGCTCCAATAATGAGGTCAATAGGAGTTGATCCAGTCGGATCGTCATCCGCTAAGGTCAAGTTGGAGATGTGTTTCCAGTCACGTAATGACGAAGCGTGTCTGGGAGCATACTTCGTCAATGCTCTCATGATGTAAGCTACCGTGGTGAAGGTTGGCTCAGGTTTATCGCGAGGCGAAATATTAATTAACGCGGCAGATCGGCATGTACCGGTATCTGCACAGCTAATCCCCGAAGTTGAAGTAAATGTTTGCATACGAGGTAAGCGTAAAATTTGCGCTACGCGTTCCGTAAGAAATGTGAGTTCTGAACCACCGTCAAGTAAGGCTCTGACAGTTAAGGAACGTCCAGAAAGCGAATGTATTTTCACCGTTGCCGTAGACAACACCACAGGAGTCGGTGATGTAGTTAACGTGACCGCTGAAAGCGCTGTGACATTTGATATATTAGTAACATTCTGCGAACTCGATGACGCAGGAATGCTCGTTGTTTGTTGCAATGAGCCCGAGTCAACGTGGATCATTGTGTGATGCCGCTTGCTACATTTGCGACACGTGAATTTACTCTGACAATTAAGTGCTACGTGCTTATCGCTTAAGCAATTGAAACATCGCTTAAGTTTCTTTATCAATTCGCGTCGTTGATCCGTGCTCATTGAAAGAAATTGTTGACACTTAGAGAGAAAGTGAGATTGTTTACAAATTGGACATGACAAATTAACTGACGCAGTTGCGGTGGCGCTTGTCACTCTCGAATGTGACTTCGTTTTATCGTGTTCGTGAGGATGGAGTTCCTCAAGCGCTATAGCGCGCGAAGATATGAAACGTATCAAGTCTTTGTACGTTGGAGGATTTTCGTTATCGCTACTCTTCAATTTCCACGCTCGACGCGTAGCAGAATCAAACTTTTGTGAAATGAAGTATACTAATATATCGCTTACAATATCCTCTGCTGTACGATCAAGACGTTTCAATGTCGCTAACGCTTGTTCCGTTTTATCTCGCAACTCGTGAAGTTCTGACGCTGATTCGCGAGTCATCTTTGGAAGATGATATAAGGTCGACACATGTACTTCGATCAACCGTCGTTTGTTCTCGAAACGCGTGGTTAACGCTTTCCACGCGACCTTAAAATTTTCGGCGGTTACTTTGATTCCTGATATCGCATCGCGGGCCGGACCTGTCAAACTAGAGATCAAAAAATGCATACGAGTGAAATTTGACAATTCTTTGTTATCTATAATCAACGACTGAAAACGGTCGCGAAAGGTCTCCCAATCCTCGTTTTTTCCAGAAAAAGGCGGTAATTTAATAGGAGGGAGATGCTTTAACGAGAATGACGATGCGTCCATTTGCGCAAAAGAAGTTTCGAGGGATGTATCTCGACTTACGACAGGAACCAGGTCTTCTAGACATTCGTTCATATGATCCAGGGCTGATTGATAGAGATCTTCGTGAAGGTCGAATTGATTCTTCTTGAAATAATTAATTGACCCTTGATCATCCTCTGGAACAAGTTGAAGCAGAATGGTGTGATTGTGCACACCTTGAGTCCATTGAGCTTGTAAAGTCGCAATCCGTGAGCGAACCCTTGCGGCCGTCAAATTAGAACGACCAATCTTTTTGAAATTGTCGAGAGCTCGAGCAATTGAGTGGAAGATAGTTTGCTGATTTGCAAGAGCGTCTTCCATTTTGACACTATAGTTGTTTATGAATATGTCACTAACACGATTGTCTACTTAAACGCGATTACTTGACTGACTGTATCTCGAATCACGCTGCACTTAAATATCACTGGTGTCCTTAATTCAGTGTTCTCGATTCGTCATTACTCTCCTATCCGGCTCGAAGGACCAAAAATGTTTGCGCGTACGCTCGATTGCTGACGTTGAACGCTCACGCACGAAGCTACGGATCCTGACAATCGGGTTGTAAATCCGATCGTCGATATCCGTCTCGTGTATAGATTGCACAGGAAGATTCAAAGTGGACTGTATCTTAAGGAGGGTGGACGCGCTCCGATTGGTGCGCAGGATGGGTAACGATTTAAGCCACGTGCCGAATCGAGAACCAGAATACGGAATTATATGCACAAATTACACAAAAACAATCCATTTATTAACTAAATTTGTCCGAGAGTCACAATGTACATAAACGCAAATTAATTTGAAACCTTTACATAAAATCTTTATCTATTAACGAATAAAATAGTCACCGCGAAAACACGTACGACGTGGTTGTTAAGCAGTCCGAAATGTCTCACTATATGGTATCTAGCATGTGTTGCATGGACACCACCGAAAAACTATTTGTTGCATAACAATTGCTAGTTACGATGAACACGCTCGAAACTCGTGTATCGAATCGTTCGAAATCTCACATTAAGATTTCGTACACGTTGCCGATTGCGGCGAATGCGATATTAAATCGCGAACCGAAATGTTTCAATTAACATGAAGAATCACTGATCACATAAATGTTACAGTGCGTTGAGCACCACGGGCTCGAAGGGATGAAAAAAAGGAACGCAAACACAATCACGACATCAGGTATCAGTCCCAGATGACTGATCACGTGATCTGCGCGCTCCAACTCACGTGATCTACGCGTGCCAAGCGAACACGCGCGAGCCTCATGTATACAATTATTACGTTCGTGGAAACAATCGGACTTCGGCACCTTGATATTTCACCATTGCGTGAATTCTGGTCCCAAATCACTGAATTCCGCTTCGTTAACAATGTTTTGAGCGCAAATTTTATGTCGCGTATATAACGGCGCACCTTGTTGCTACCGTTAATTAGCGAATGTCAAAGTGAACGTATTTCACATCTCACTTATCACTGAATCACAGCAGAATATCAATCTGATTATTTTTTTTATTAATCAAACGAACTACGAACAATTAGAATCGCGACGGAAAACCCACATGTGACTAATCGCAAAGCCGTGCCAGGAGCGAATGCCCAGGTTCGATGACGAGGCAGTTCATCCCCGATCGATTCGATAATCGAACGCTTGAAGCGCGGCGTGTAGGTTCAGTGCGTGCTGCCCCGTGCCGGATTAATTTTCAAAAATTATAGAATTTCAAATTATCGACCTACTTCTTCAATCTCTTTGAACAAATAATAATAGTTCTCACCGGGGTCAATTTACTTCTTTTTACTAGTATTAATCAAAGATATTCCCTCAAAGTTGAAAATTTTGTGTTTTCTTGTTAAAATTAACGGTCCCCGTTAAAATTTTTGTGTTTTGATACATTCATGTGTTAACTTAACATATATTGCTGTATTAATTGAACTTAAATGTTAAAACAACTGGAAAAAAGTGTAAAAATGTGCATTTATTTTTAATTATGCACAAAAAATATGTTCTGTATTATTAGTGACAAGATTTATCTGTTAAAATTTATAGAAAAAATGCTGAATTATTATTTTATAATATAAATGAGGATGATAAAAGTGTAAAATTAACATTTTTTAGTTAATTATTGCATTAAAACTATGTTAATTTTACAAAAAATGTATTTTAAATTATTTGAAAGGAGAATGTTAAAAAAGGTTGATTTCCGACTATCGATGGAACCTAAAATTCGAGTTCCATGAGTATCTATGAACCATATAAGATGTAAAAATGATGGCCTTTTTTCTTAGAGATCTGATTGAAAATTCATCCATGTCGTCGATTTTGGTTGTCTTTAGATCGATCGAATAACACTATTTTCAATAATTTTGATAGATTTTTAATACTTTCCCCAGGTCTCTAGGAAAAAAGACCATCATTTTTACATCTTATATGATTCATAGATACCCATAAAACTCAAATTTTAGGTTCCATCGATAGTCGGGAAATTGACTTTTTTTAACATCCTCCTTTGCATTTACTGTGTTAAAATATTACCATATAGTATTTGTGTCATCATTTAACATATCTATATTATGTTAAATTCACACAAAAATTTCTGTGGACCGTTTGGGATATGTGATATTTGTTAAATTAACATGAATTTTTCAAAGTTAAGAATCTATATGCTCGCGAAATAAATAATAAGGTAAATATATACAATATAATATATATGTATATTGGCCAAGCGAGCCAACGCGATGTTTTTGCGGAAAATAAAGGAACTGGGAATTCGTATCTACAATTGAGATCTCAAAAATTCCCCTTATTCCTTATTTTAATCATCTATATTCTCTCGATTATAAAAGGACCAAGGCACTTCGATCGCACAGCGAGCTTTCTTGTCTGCGATTAAATCCGAAATAGCCAGAAAGTAAAAAACTTCAGTGATTCTCGCCTTGTTGGAAATGACCATTTCGATTTTTTGAAGAGAAAGTTCCAATTTTTTGACATAAAATGCTTTCAAAAAAATATGTTGCAAATTACAAATATTCCTTTTAAAGCAACTATGTTTTCTTTACATTGATTAATTATTGGTTTCATTATTTTTTGCATAAAAATATTAAGATATGATTACCGAAAATTAAATATTTTGCAAAATATTTTACATTTTATGTCAAAAAATTGTTAATTTCAAACCTTTATAACTCAAAAAGTACTTAATGGAAAAATGTTTTATTATAGTGTTTTGGAAAGATCTCGACATCAGCTACACGAATATAATATAAAAAATTGGTGATTTTATTTAAGAAAATCAAGTTAACATTCAAATAATCTTCAAATGATTTGACATCAAGGTCAAAGTCAAAGTCACCGTCAGGTGTCCTTTTCTGAACCCTGCAACTTTTGTATAAAACATATTTTTCTATATTGCTTACTTTATAAAATATTTGCGTGGATTGATTAAAATGATCCACCCTGTATATATATATATATACATATATATATATATATATATATATATATATATATAAGTATACATGATAATACAAATAAGATGAATAAATTATAAAATTAAAAAATTATTAAGATAAAATTATGATGTAATATCTCATAATATACTCATCGCTTTCGATCATTTTAGCTTAATAATTTTCTTAATTTTATAATTTTAATATTTATCTTAATAATTCTTAATAATTCTATTTATCTTATTCATATTAATTATTTTAATGAAAATTAATATTCACGATTCCTTCCTTTGTACAGCATTTTATTTAGTGTCAGA